AGAGGTCGAAAACAGGTGGGCTACAAATATGTTTTGTCTCCCTACTGTGTCACAGAAAAATGTGAATATGTTGCTGATACTGATAATTGGGAGTTTTGGTCGGGCATGGTGGCTCACACCTGTAATCCCAGCACTTTGGGTGGTTGAGGCAGGAGGACTGCTTGAGCCCAGGAGTTCGAGACCAGCCTGGGCAACAAAGTGAGACTCTGTTTCTACAAAAAAATATATTTTTTAAGTTAGCCAGGTGTGGTGACATGCACCTGTGGTCCTAGCTACACGGGAGGCTAGGGCAGGAGGATCACTTGAACGGGAGGCTGAGGCTGCAGTGAGCCCTGTTTATACCACTGCACTCCAGCCTGGGCAAGATCCTATCTCAAAAAAGGTGGTTGGGGGGAGTCTCATATGAAAATCTAGGTGTCTGGTTTTTTTTTTTAAGTAATTGGAAGGCATGGCACACTGGACCTGCATTTCCCCAAAGCAACAATCAGCTGGGGTGGGGTAGTGGCTGTCCCCTTCAGACAGACACGTACTTTCTAGTTTGCCATGATCTCCACTAGTCACCCAGTATATGCATGTGCCCTTGATCCCTGGAGAATGTTGAATTTGCAAGGAAGTGCTCAATAGATGTGCTTACCAAATCAATGAATGGATGAATGAATGAAAGAGAAAAATGAAATAGAGAAATAAATCGTGCAGGAAACAGTCTGGGTAGGAGAAAAATTAATGAGATTTGCAGCTGGGCATGGTGGCTCATGCCTGTAATCCCAGTACTTTGGGGTGGCCGAAGAAGGTGGATCACGAGGTCAAGAGATTGAGACCATACTGGCCAACATGGTGAAACCCTGTCTCTACTAAAAATACAAAAAGTTAGCTGGGCATGGTGGGCCGCATCTGTAGTCCCAGCTACTTGGGTGGCTGAGGCAAGAGAATGACTTGAACCCGGGAAATGGAGGTTGCATTGCACTCCTTCCAAAGAGGACCTTCTTCTTTCCACATTTCAGCCCTGGGGGACCCTCTGGGTGTGCCTTTCATCTCTCTGTGGTCAGTTCCTCAATTCATCATGTATTCATTTATTCATTCATCCACTCCACTGCACTCCAGCCTGGTGACAGAGTGAGACTCCATCTCAAAAAAATAATGATAATGATACTTGCTTGTGTCCCTTTTGGTTTCCTACCCTCACTAGTGAACCAGCAGGAAATGGCACAGCTTCTGGAAGGACAGATTCTGTCTGACTGATCTTCAGAGAAAGAATGCATTATGGGAGGGAGCTAGGGGATTTCAAGACCATGAAGGCAAAGTCAGGAGGAGTCTGGAGGCTCAAATCCTTACACGAACGTCGAGTGTTTTTATTTTTATTTTTTTATTTTTTGAGATGGAGTCTTGCTCTGTCGCCCAGGCTGGAGTGCAGTGGCGTGATCTCAGCTCACTGCAAGCTCTGCCTCCCAGGTTCACGCCACTCTCCTGCCTCAACCTTCCGAGTAGCTGGGACTACAGGAGCTCGCCACTACGCCCGGCTAATTTTTTATGTTTTTAGTAGAGACGAGGTTTCACCGTGTTAGCCAGGAATGGCCTCAATCTCCTGACCTCGTGATCCACCCGCCTTGGCCTCCCAAAGTGCTGGGATTACAGGCGTGAGTCACCGCGCCCCACCTGAGTGTTTTTATTACAGTATCAAATCCAGAATGTCACAAGTGGCCAGTGTTTCATCTGGGAATAAGATGACCCTTCATTATCCAGGAAAGTCTTCACATGTGGCATCTCTGGTTCCTGCCAGGAAATGTCAGGAGTATCCCTCTCCTTCTCGCCCTACCCCTACTTTGGCCCAAGTCATAGTGACAACCCAAAATGCCTCCACAGATTTCTAAATGACCCCTGCTGAGATCCACTGGTCTAGAACCATTTCTAGGAGCCACCATTTCTAGGCCTGACCCACATCAGACATTGCTAATTGACTGCAGAACTTTTTCTACAGCCTCTGATTCCCTCTCCAATCAGCACTCCAGATAGCTTCCACTCATCAGCTGGAGCGGCTGCCATGCTGGATGGAGGTGTGCAATGCAGCCTAGGCCTGTTTAATCTTTTTTTTTTTTTTTTTTGAGACGAAGTGTCACTCTGTCCCCCAGGCTGGAGTGCAGTGGCCGGATCTCAGCTCACTGCAAGCTCCGCCTCCTGGGTTTACGCCATTCTCCTGCCTCAGCCTCCCGAGTACCTGGGACTACAGGCGCCCACCACCTCGCCCGGCTAGTTTTTTGTATTTTTTAGTAGGGACAGGGTTTCACCATGTTAGCCAGGATGGTCTCGATCTCCTGACCTCATGATCCGCCCGTCTCGGCCTCCCAAAGTGCTGGGATTACAGGCTTGAGCCACCGTGCCCGGCCCTGTTTAATCTTCATAAAACCTTAAACAACCTAATTTTTGTGTCTCTACTTTTCTTTCCAATGGCAATCTTACTGATACATTAGGCTTAAAATAATTCTGCAACTTCCCACCAGGGTGCCCCAAAACCCAACATGGCCCCATGGACCCTAATCGTTCTCCTTGATCTGCTGCTTGGCTACTTCCTGGCCTGGCCTGCTCTCCTTGGCCCTGTTTCTCCTCCTGTGACCTCTGACCACTCTCTTAGACCACACTTCACACCCATTCCTTTACTCACAATCTCTCCTTGGTGCTCTCATCCAGGTTCTTCAGATGTCAGTTACACACTAATGACTACAATTTTTGTTTTGTTTTGAGATGGAGTCTCATTCCGTCCCCCAGGCTGAGTGCAGTGGCGTGATCTCAGCTCACTGCAACCTCTGCCTCCCAGGTTCAAGTGATTCTCTTGTCTCAGCCTCCTGAGTAGCTGGGATTACAGGCACCTGCCACCACGCCGACTGACTTGTATTTTTAGCAGAGATGGGGTTTCTCCATGTTGGCCAGGCTGGTCTTGAACTCCCAGCTTCAAGCAATCTGCCCACCTCGGCTTCCTATAGTGCTGGGATTACAGGCATGAGCCACCGCACCTGGCCTTGACTCTGCAATTTATATTTCCAGCTGAGACTTTCTTCCTGAATTGTAGCTTCATATAATCCAACTGCATATTCGACTTCTCCAACTGAATGACTAACACACGCCTCGAATCCAACACATCGAGACCTGAACTCTGAATTTTCCACCCCAAGCCTGATTTGCATAAGCACACTCTTCCCCATGCCAATTCATGGCAACTCCATCCTTGCAGATGCTCAAGTGAAAAATCTTGGACTCATCCCCGACTCCTCTGTTTCTCTCATTCCCCACATTCAATCTGTCAGGAAGTTCTGTCAGCTTTCCTGTCAAGATATATCCTGAAACCACCCCTTCACCCTACTTCCACCATTACCTCCCTCATCCATGCCACTGTGATATCTTGCCTGAATTACCACAACAGCCTCCTGGCTGGTGTTGCTGCTCCTTCATTCCTGGCACAGCAGCCAGAGCCATCCTGATAAATTTGGTGACATCATTCCCGCCCTCGGTATCCTCCAATAGCTCCAGCTTTACTCATTCCTCCAACTCTCCCCCTTGCTTAAACTGCTCCAGCCCTTGGCCACCTCACTGCTCCTTGACTCTGCCAGGCACACCCCAACCTCAGGGTGCTTGGCTTGGAATGACCCCAATATCTGCTTGGCTAAAACCCTCTTTCAAGCTGTTGCCTAACGGTCACTTCCTCAATGAGGCCTTTTCTGACAACTCCATGAATATCCTTCCCCAATCCTCTTCCCTCTCCACTTCTGTTTTCCACAGGACTTGTCACCTTCTAAACTTTACCTGTCGCCCCCTATTTAGACTAAAGGCCCCCATCACTGCAGGAATTTTTGTCCCTTTTGTGAATTTCTGTATCCCTGGCACCTAGAACAGTTCTCGCCACATAGTAGGCCCTCAATAAATATTTGATGACTAAATGACTGGATGATTTTTTGGGTAGACATCCTAGCCAGTTCAGCCCAAATCCAGAGAGCCCACTCCAGGTATAGGCTTTTTTTTTTTTTTTGACAGAGTCTCACTCTGCAGCCAGGCTGGAGTGCAGTGGCGCGATCTCAGCTCACTGCAAGCTCCACCTCCCAGGTTCACACCATTCTCCTGCCTCAGCCTCCCAAGTAGCTAGGATTACAGGCGCCCACCACCACGCCCGGCTAATTTTTTTGTATTTTTTTAGTAGAGGCGGGGTTTCACCGTGTTAGCCAGGATGGTCTCAATCTCCTGACCTCGTGATCCGCCCGCCTCAGCCTCCCAAAGTGCTGGGATTACAGGTGTGAGCCACTGTGCCTGGCCATTGTTTTGTTTTTGTTTTTGAGATGGAGTCTCACTCTGTTGCCCAGGCTGGAGTGCAGTGGCGTGACCTCGACTCACTGCAACATCTGCCTCCTGGGTTCAAGCGATTCTACTGCCTCAGCCTCCTGAGTAGCTGGGATTACAGGTGCCCACCACCATGCCTGGCTAATTTTTGTATTTTTAGTAGAGGCAGGGTTTTGCCATGTTGGCCAGGCTGGTCTCGAACTCCTGACCTCAAGTGATCTGCCTGCCTCGTCCTCCCAAAGTGCTGGGATTACAGGCATGAGCCACTGTGCCCAGCCTAGGTATCGGCTTTCAAGACCTCTGTCCTCACTGGGTTCAATCAGACCTTGAGACTGGTCGTCTGACAATGATGGGGCAACAGCAACCAGTCAGCTGTCCCAGGGAAGGAGCCACACGCCTGATTCAGGGGCCCACTTGCTAAATGGATGGATGAATAAATACATGAATGAATACATGATGAATTGAGCAATTGACCACAGAGAGATGAAAGGCACATCCAGAGGGTCCCCCAGGGCTGAAATGTGGAAAGACTGTGTGGGTCTTAGAATATGGGGGCAACATAACGTAGGACGTTTCTTCCTTCCCCTCTTTCCTCTGCCTTAGGCTTCCTCCATAAAAACAGAGAAGGGGACACAGGCTGAATAGGACATTGGGATGGAGAAGGCTGTGGCTTCCTTTACCTTTCCACTGATGGCCTTTTTGGAGAGGAGGTGGCAGAAGACTTGGAGTCCACAGAGTCTCTCCTGAAAGAAGAGAAATTGGCGATGAGACTGCTTTGTAGGCTAGCATCAGTGCTGACAGGAAGGTGGGGAGAAAGCATCCTGGGAAAAGGCCAGCTGGATTGAGGCTAAGGAAGCCCACCCGGACCACAGCTACGTGGGAGAGGGAGCTCCAGGCGGTGCCGGCTGGTCATGACCTTCACCTACCCTCCATCAAATGAACCAATACAAGGGAAGGAAGTCGATATCTGCCAAGGGCCTAACACATATCGCATGTATGTGACATGTGTTGTGTTGCTCATTATTAACAACTATTCTCAGCAGGCCCTTGTCCTCCTGGCTGTCAGGCAGGCCTTAGCTAACTGGAGTCCACAGAGACTGGATTCCTGGAGTTGTCTATACTCATCTGGAACCAGAGAAACAGAGAGATCCGCTTCAGCCTCCCTGGCAGGCACTTTAGGAGGAGGAGAGGAGAAACACATGGGCCTTGGGGATAGAAGAGCTGGGTTAAAATAGCAATCAAAAAAGCAAGAGACAAAATTAGATGCGGACTGTGACTAAAGTCACGCAAGAAAACCAATGCACAGGAGGAAAAGCAGATCTAAAGAAAATATATTCAAATGCTGTTTACAGCTAGGGTGATGGGTTTAAAGGCGAATTTTTCGGCCAGGTGCAGTGGCTCAAGCCTGTAATCTCAGCACTTTGGGAGGCCGAGACGGGTGGATCACGAGGTCAGGAGATGGAGAACATCCTGGCTAACACGGTGAAACCCCGTCTCTACTAAAAAATACAAAAAACTAGCTGGACGAGGTGGCCGGCGCCTGTAGTCCCAGCTACTCGGGAGGCTGAGGCAGGAGAATGGCGTAAACACAGGAGGCGGAGCTTGCAGTGAGCCGAGATCCGGCCACTGCACTCCAGCCTGGGCGACAGAGCGTCTCAAAAAAAAAAAAAAAGTGAATTTTTCCCCCAATTTTTCCAAAATGCATGCAGCTACATTCTTTTTATGATGTATAATGTAGTTCTTCTTTTTACTGGTTTTAAAAAATTAATCTGTTTGTTAATTGCAAACCCCACTCTCCATCTCACTTACCCTGCCCTCCTTTTAATTCCATAGTACATGTCACCTTCTAGCATACTTGACTAGCATAATTGACTTTTTTTTCTTTGAGACAGAGTCTCACTCTGTTGCCCAGGCTGGAGTGCAGTGGTGCTATCTTAGCGACTCACTGAGACCTCCGCCTCCTGGGTTCAAGTGATTCTCCTGCCTCAGCCTCCCGGGTAGCTGGGATGACAGGCACGTGCCACCACGCCTAGCTAATTTTTATATTCTTAGTAGAGAGGGGGTTTCACCATGTTGGCCAGGCTGGTCTCAAACTCCTGACATCAGGTGATCTGCCCACCTCGGCCTCCCAAAGTGCTGGGATTACAGGCGTGAGCCACTGAGCCCGGCCAATTTACTTATTTATATTTAATTATATTTATTGTCTGACACCCCATGTAAATTCCACAAGAGCAGCATTTGGCAGGTTTTGGTCACTGTGGTGAACACTATCTGTGCTCAGCCCACTTCCCCTTGGGTGGTCACTCTCTCAGTGGCCTCTGGACCCAAGAGCTGCCTCCTGCAAGCTCCCCAGGGCCTCTGTTTGAGGGAGTTCTCTCCCTCAGCTAGGCTGGCTGGAAGTGCTGGTCACTAACTAATGACCCCAGGAGCAGCCCTCCACCAGACACACGGGAGAGGGGAAGAGAGGTCCTCATTCACATGCCCCTGCACTCCCACAACAGGCCCTGGGAGTTCTTCTGTGGGGTTTCTCCTTAGTGCACCTTGGGGATAGACAATGCAAGCAGGAACCATAAGCTGGAATTCCTACAGTGGGAGAGGGGAGAGAAGACACGAGACTCCACCCTGGAGAACCACTTTCTGACTCTTCCTCGTTGCTTTTCTTTTTAGAACAAATCAGAAATGCTCTGCAGTTATTGCAAATGACTGTTATGAAAACTATTCAGGAACATGAAAACATGCTTAGAATACGATAGCAAGATAAATAAAAAGGTGACATATTCGTTGATACAGGTCTGGGCTAGAGCATCAGGAAAAGTCTAAAGATTAGACTGTAAGAAAATAGAAACCAGCTGGGCACGGTGGCTCACACCTGTAATCCCAGCACTTTGGGAGGCCAAAGCAGGCAGGTCACTTGAGTCAGGAGTTCGAAACCAGCCTGGTCAATATGGTGAAACCCCCGTCTCTACTAAAAATTCAAAAATTAGCCGGGCATGGTGGCGTGCTCTGTAATCCCAGCTACTCGGAGGCTGAGGCAGAAGAATCACTTGAACCTGGGAGATAGTGGTTCCAGTGAGCTGAGACCATGACAGCCTAGGTGACAAACAGAGACTCCGTTTCAAAAATAAAAAATAAAAAAAGAAAGAAAATAGAAACCATGTTTCGAAGACCTGTATTACAGGTACTTCATCAGTTTGTAAGGCATGAGTCCAAAATAGCTAGCAGTTTGCTTCTCGAAATGTCCCTGAATTGTGTGCAGTTACTCGGGCAAGTGGGTTAGGACCCTATCATGAGACAGATGGAAGGAAATACTCCAGCACAATATTTTCTTTAGCAGCAAATGAGATGTGGTGATCAGGGGACAGGGAAGTGTGCCAAATGGGTGATGTCTGTCAAGATGACATGGCACAGAATATCAGCATTCTAGCCAGGCCTTGGAGATGTCGCACATCAGTGAAAAAGGAGTCTGGAATTTATTTTTATTTTTATTTATTTATTTTGAGATGGAGTCTCAATCTGTCACCCAGGCTGGAATAGAATGGCACCATCTCAGCTCACTGCAACCACCATCCCCTGGGTTCAAGGGATTCCCATGCCTCAGCCTCCCAAGTAGCTGGGATTACAGGTGCATGCCACCATTTCCAGCTAATTTTTGTATTTTTAGTAGAGATGGGGTTTTGTCATGTTGGCCAGGCTGGTCTCAAACTTCTGACCCCAAGTGATCCGCCCATCTTGGCCTCCCAAAGTGCTGGGATTACAGGCATGAGCCACTGCATCCAGCCAGGGGTCTTGAATTTATGCAGAAGAAAAAGTAGACTATGGTGAATACATGGATAAAAATAATGGGAGGTGACAAGCAACAACAATCATAGTGAGGCAGAAATTTAAAAATAAATATGCATTCATTCACTCTAAGAAAAGTAACAGGCAAGGCAAGGGTTAAAAGCAAAGAACAAATTTTCCTCTGCCTAGCAAGCTCACTTCAAGGACAGTTATAAGATAATGCTGTTTGAGAAGCGAAGGCCAAAGGAATGGGCTCTAGACCCCCCTCCTCTCCAGAGCAAGGTTGAAGGAAAAAAAGAAAGACAGACAAATTCCTTTACTATTACTCCTTTCCCTGGCTTCTTAAGCATGACTATGTTTTACAAATGTCTGTATTTAGCCAGTTCTTTTTTTTTATTTCAATACAGCTACAAGGTCACCAGCTATGCAAGGCCACAAGTTATGCTATGCTGTAGATTATGTGACCTATCATATAATTAACTGCTTTTGCTTTGCTTCTGTAAGACTGCTTATAAAAACCCTGCTCTGTCTTTGTTAAAATGCTCAGCTTTTTAGGTATGAATCCACTGGGCCGGTGCATACCTTAAATAAACAATCCTCCTGTTCTCCTATTGGTCTCTCTGGTCCTCAGTTTCCCACAACAATAGCTGATAGTAGGATATTTCTGAGTGACCAGACAAAGGAGAAGGCACAGAATGGGTGACTCTTCTTTGGCCATTGTTTGCTACAGTCTCATTTCCAAATCATGTATAATCTTTCCTAAGGACAAAAATTCAAATACTGTTTTATATTTTAAAAAGCAATTTGCACCCACACTCCCAGCTACTCAGGAGGCTGAGGTTAGAGGATCACTTGAGCCTAGGTGTTGCAGGCTGCAGTGAACTGTGACCATGCCACTGCACTCCAGCCTGGGCAACACAGTGAGACGCTGTCTCAAAAAAAAAAAAAAAAAAAGTCGGGCACAGTGGCTCACGCCTGTAATCCCAGAACTTTGGGAGGCCGAGGCGGGTGGATCACGAGGTCAGGAGATCAAGACCATCCTGGCCAACATGGTGAAACCCCGCCTCTACTAAAAATACAAAAAATTAGCCAGGCGTGGTGGCAAGCACCTGTAGTCCCAGCTACTCGGGAGGCTGAGGCAGGAGAATGGCGTGAATCCGGGAGGCAGAGCTTGCAGTGAGCCAAGATCGCGCCACTGCACTCCAGCCTGGGAGACAGAGCAAGACTCTGTCTGGAAAAAAAAAAAAATTGGCCGGGCACGGCGGCTCACGTCTGTAATCCCAGCACTTTGGGAGGCTGAGGTGGGTGGATTACCTGAGGTCAGGAGTTCAAGACCAGCCCGGTTAAACATGGTGAAACCCTGTCTCTACTAAAAATACAAAAAGGCTGGGTGCAGTGGCTCATGCCTGTAATTCCAGCATTTTGGGAAGCTGAGGCGGGCAAATCACCTGATGTCGGGAGTTCGAGACCAGCCCGAGCAATATGGAGAAACTCTGTCTCTACTAAAAAAAAATACAAAAAATAGCCAGGCATGGTGGCACATGCCTGTAATCTCAGTTACTCGGGAGGCAGTAAAGAGGCTGGGAGCAGTGGTTCATGCCTGTAGAAGAATCACTTGAACCTGGGAGGCGGAGGTTGCAGTGAGCTGAGATCACGCCATTGCACTCCAGCCTGGGCAACAAGAGCGAAACTCCACCTCAAAAAAAAAAAAAAAATTAGCTGGGCATGGTGGCAGGTATCTGTAATCCCAGCTACTCGAGAGGCTGAGACAGGAGAATCGCTTGAACCCAGGAGGCAGAGGTTGCAGTGAGCCGAGGTTGCACCAGTGCACTCCAGCCTGAGCAAAAAGAGTGAAATTCCGCCTCAAAAAAAAAAAAAAAAAAACACACACTCTGCCTAAAGGAATAGAAAAATTACGTATGTAGTTAGACCAGGCCTGGGAGAGGAGAGGAAGAAAAATAAAAGCTGCTTAATTTGTCTGATGTGCGCAAATATTTCCCATGCTTATTCTAAGTTGCACTAATGTGGTTACAGTGTTTGTATAATGAATTATCATTAAGAAAACTAAAAAGAAAGGAAATTAATTAACTGAGCTGAAATAGGACCCCTGACAACTGGCTTCTCCCAGCAGAATGAGAAGAAACCTCTCCATTTTCTGCTCAGCCTCAGCAACAACTTCATTTCAGAGCTCCATGGCTGTGAAAAGTGACCGGGCATAACAATTTAGTGTCCCTGAAAATGTATAGTGCACTTCAAATTTTATTAACAAAATATAAATATCAATGTGCATATGAATTTTTTTTTTTTTTTGAGACGGAGTCTCACTTCTCACCCAGGCCAGAGTGCAGTGGTGTGACCTCTGCTCACTGTAACATCCGCCTCCCAGGCTCAAGTGATCCTCCCACCTTACCCTCCCAAGTAGCTGGGAACACAGGTGCATGCCACCACGCCCAGCTAATTTTTCTTACTTTTAATAGAGATGGGGTTTCGCCGTTGGTCTCTAACTCCTGAGCTCAAGTGATCTACCTGCCTCCACCTCCCTAAGTGCTGGGATTACAAGCGTGAGCCACCTTGCTCGGTCCATATGTATGTTCCTTTTTTTTTTTTTTAAAGACAGAATCTCGCTCTGTTGTCCAGGCTGGAGTGCAGTGGGGTGATCTTGGCTCACTGCAACCTCAGCCTCCCAAATTCAAGCAATCCTCCTGCCTCAGCCTCCCAAGTAGCTGGGATTACAGGCACCCACCACCATGCTCAGCTAATACTTGTATTTTTAGTAGAGACAGGGTTTCACCATGTTGGCCAGGCTGGTCTCGAACTCCTGACCTCAAGTGATCTGCCTGCCGTGGCCTCCCAAAGTACTGGGATTATAGACGTGAGCCACCACGCCCGACCATCTTTGCTATTATGAATAGTACTGTGATGAACACACAAGTGCATGTGTCTCTTTGGAAGAATAATTTTTAGATGCCAGTTAGGGTTTTTCCAAGTAGGATACACTTGCAAAATAAGCAATGGAAAGGAACGGAACATAGAAAATGTGACAAAACCATCTCACAGGCATTACCTTTTAAAAAGCAGGCTATTAAAGTTGGGGATGACTATAGAAAACAAGTCAAAGAGAGAACAGAAAGAAAAGCCATACACCAACACATCAAGAGTGGTGATTGTCTTTAGGTTGTGGGAATGTGGATGATTTTTTTTTTCTACTTTTCTAAATTTTTCTTTTTTTTTTTTTTGACGGAGTTTCACTCTTGTTGCCCAGGCTGGAGTGCAATGGCGCAATCTCGGCTCACTGCAACCTCCAACTTCCGGGTTCAAGTGATTCTCCTGCCTCAGCCTCCTGAGTAGTTGCGATTACAGGCATGTGCCACCATGCCCAGTTAATTTTGTATTTTTAGTAGAGATGGGGTTTCTTCATGTTGGTCAGGCTGGTCTCGAACTCCCGACCTCAGGTGATCCACCCACCTTGGCCTCCCAAAGTGCTGGGATTACAGGGGTGAGATACCGTGCCCGGCCTTCCATCATGTTCTACAACAGATTTTTATCACTCTTATGTGTTTAGTTTTTAAAAGCACTACTATTATTTTTTTGTTTCAAAAGCAGTACAGGATCATTGCGAAAAATCCCAATAATTCAGATTTAAAATTTTTATTGTATAATACAGAAAGTAGAGATCCTTTTAATTTATAATATATGTCTTGGTTTTTGTTTGTTTTTGAGATAGCGTCTTGCTCTGTTGCTCAGGCTGGAGTGTAGTGGCGCAATCTCAACTCACTGCAATCTCCATCTCCCGGGCACAAGTGATTCTCCCACCTCAGCCTCCAGAGTAGCTAGGATTACAGGTGCGCACCACCACACCTGGCTAATTTTTGTATTTTTTGTAGAGGCGGAGTTTTGCCATGTTGCCCAGGCTTGTCTCAAACTCATGGGCTCAAGTGATCCTCCTGCCTCAGCCTCCCAAAGTGCTGGGATTACAGGTGTGAGCCACCACACCAGGTGCAGTGAATCTTATAAGTGACTATTGCCTTTGCTAGCATCTTGGAAACTTTGTCTTTGGGACTGTTACAAGATTTGGATGTGAGGTATACGCCCACTGTGGTCTTGTTTCCCTGCACCCCGTCTGTTGCCTGGGTGGGCCAGAGAAGAGCTCTAGACTGCTGTGTGGTCTCCTATGGGAACTCTCTGTAGAGGAATGCTGGAGGCCCTCTTGCAGACGCACTCTTTCCTGTCCCTGCATCCTTCTAGGCAAAGCCAGTACTATTTATGGCCTATTTGGGTCTTGTGAGTCTAACGTCTGGTTGAGCCAAAGAAGACCCCCAGAGGGGGCACTGCATGAGATAATACCAATATCTTCCTCCCCAGGATGCGAGGTTTAAATGAGATAATATACACAGAGCTGCTGGCAGAGGACATGACAGGTGTCAGCTCCCTTGTCTCCATCCCAGAAAAGGATACCTGGTTTTGGGGTCTTCTCGTTTTTTCCTTGGTGGAGAAAGGCCTGCTTCTGGCTTCCAGTCTGAACAGTCAAGCCCTTTCTCCTTCTTCTTTGCTTTTTCTCTTTCCTTTCCTTTTTCTCCTTTTGGGGGTCCAGGGGAGTCTGAAAGCAAAAGGGTGGCATTGTCCCTCAGCTAAGTTCTGTCTCAGCAGAACCCAGCATGACTTTAGTGGGCAGGGAGCAAAGGGCAGGGACGAGGACAGCTGCACACACACTCCCAACACACACGCAAACACATTTACACACAAATGCACATACAACAGAACCATGTGTACAAATATGCATTCTCACATGGGGACATAAATACATTGGCAAACACATCTCTGCACATATTCACATAAATGCATGTATGTAGACATGTATTATATAGACAAATGCGTGAGAGCACAAACACATAAGGGTTGCATGTACACAAAACTCACAAGTCTACAAATCTTGTACTTATGTACACAAACATTGGCAGTCCCCCACTAGCTACCTCCCAGATCCAGAGGCCATCTGTCACTGATTAAGTCACTCAACAGACATACACTGAGTGCCGGCTATGAGTCAGGCCCAGTCCTGTCCCAAGTGCTAGAAGAAAAACAGGACTCAAGTCAACCTTGTCCTGTCTCACCTAGCAGCCGCTTCCAGTTTTTGATGAGGACTTTGGCCAAGGACACCACCTCCTTGTCTGAGCAGTGCTTGCGGACCCCATTAACAGCAACTCCAATCCTGGTTGTCTGCAAAGTGACAGGGTTAAGGCATGATCGGGGAATGGATACACAGGAATGGCTGCCCTCATTGGCAGGTCCTGCCCCAGCTCTACCACCACCTCCCCTTCCAACCTGTATCCCCAGAGTCCTAGCCCTGACTCCTGGCTGAGGTCAGAACCCCACTACTATAACTGAGGCCCTGCTCTGCACGAGGTCGAGGGCCCAGGGCTAAGCCTGACATGGAGGATACCTATGGCTTTGGTGAAAGGCTGCACCTAGGGTTGGGAGCGGCACTTGGCTGACTGTCAGGACCCCTCCCATTCCCAACCCTCTAGTATCTATTTTTTTTGAGATGGAGTCTAGCTGTGTTGCCCAGGCTGGAGTGCAGTGGTGCAATCTCAGTTCACTGCACTCAGTTCACTGCACCTCCCAGGTTCAAGTGATTCTCGTGTCTCAGCCTCCCGAGTAGCTGGGGTTATAGGTGTCCGTCACCGTGCCCAGCTACTTTTTGTATCTTTAGTATAAACGGGGTTTCACCATGCTGGCCAGGCTGGTCTTGAACTCCTGACCTTAGGTGATCTGCCCTCCTCGGCCTCCCAAAGTGCTGGGATTACAGGCGAGAGCCACCGTGGCCAGCTCCCTCTAGTGTCTTTGAGCTCCAGTTTCAACTGAGACAGCAGCTCCAGCTATGCGACCTTGCATCTGTCTGTGCTCATTTTTCACCGCCAGGAGCTTTTGGTAAATTTGGGGACTTTAAGGGCCACACAGGGATTTTAAATGGGGGACTTTTCCCTCTCCCTGGATCATTGGCCTCCTGGATCCCACAGGCCCAGGGCCTTGGGAATTGGACTATTCAGGAAAAGCAAACCAGTCTTGCTCCAAGGCCCAGAAGTCCCTGACACCTAGAAGGTACCCTCTCTGCCCCCAGGATGCCCCTGTGTCCCCCTCAGTCCCCCCTGGGAGGTCTGCACCTCAAGATTCCCACCCCCCCGGCCTCCCCTCAGAAATTCCTCCCAGACTCCACCTTCCCCCATTGGGGGTCTTTCCCTAACCCACCAGCTCTCCTCCCAGGCACTGCCCCAAGGCTTCCCGCCCCCACCCCACCTGTAGTAGCTGGATGGACATCTGGCAGCTGTGCAGCTTCTTCAGAAGGTCCAGGGCCCCTTCCTGTGGGAGACCACAAGGTGAGGACTGGGGCCCGGGTCCTGCCCGGGCTTCTCTGACTACTGTGTGGTCTTGGTACACGGAGGAGGAGAATACAGACACGTGGCCGAAGGACAGGCAAGGGGCAGAAGGAAGGAGAGAGACGAGAAACATTCTGTCCTAGACGATGCTCTAACTTCATCCCCCGCCACCTGCTGGGTTCAAACCCTCTGAGCCAGGCTCCTGACCTCCAGCCTTTGGTTCTGCTGTGCCTCTTCCCAGGAATGTCCTCCCCTTTCCCCATCTTTCCTCCAAAATGAATTCCTTCCTGGCTTATTGTTGCTCGTGTGCCTGGAGCGTCCTCCCCTTACCTCCCCACTGTGAACTTCACAGGCTGAGGACCGGGGCCTTTTTAAAAAACAAAACAAAACAGCTTGGCCTGCACAGTGGCTCACACCTATAATTCCAGCACTTTGGCAGGCTGAGGTGGGTGGATCACTTGAGGCCAGGAGTTCAAGACCAGCCTGGCCAACACGGTGAAGCCCCATCTCTACTAAAATACAAAAATTAGCCAGGCGTGGTGGCGCATGCCCGTAACCCCAGTTACTCAGGAGGCTGAGGCAGGAAAATCGCTTGAGCCCGGGAGATGGAGGTTACAGTGAGCCAAGACGGCGCCACTGCACTCCAGCCTGGGTGACAGAGCGAGACTCCAACTCGAACAAAACAAAACAAAACAAAAAAACAGCTTTATTGAGGTATAATTGACATACAATAACTGCATATTTTACAGCGTAAAATTTGATGAGTTTCAACATACCTGTACACCCATGGAATCCTCACCATAATCAAGATAAAAGCACAGCCACCAGCCCCAAAAGCTTCTTCCTGTCCTCTTTCTAATCCATCCCTCCCCATCCCCAATCCTAAACAACCACAATTCTGCCTTCTGTTACTATGGGTGACCTTGTATCTTTAAGGATTTTATATAGAGTATGTAGGGCAAAACCCCTTTTTTATCTGGCTTATTTGGGCATAATTATTTCTGAGACTCATCCATGTTGTCTCGTGGATCAGTAGTTCATTTTTATTGCTGAGTGGTTTTCCACTGTATCTATTGTACCACAGTTTGTTTGTTTGTTTGTTTGTTTGTTTTTGAGACAAGATCTCACCCTGTTGCCCAGGCTGGAGCGCAGTCGCACAATCACTGCAGCTTTGACTTTCCAGGCTCGGGTGATCCTCCCACCTCAGCCTCCCGAATAACTGGGACCACAGGTATGAACCACCACATCTGGCTAATTTTTTGTATTGTTTTGTAGAGATGGGGTTTTGCCATGTCACCCAAGCTGGTCTCAAACTTCTGGTCTCAAGTGACCCTCCTGCCTTGGCCTCCCCAAGTGCTGGGATTACAGGCGTGAGCCACCACGCTCAGTCTACCACAATGTTTTAAATTCATTCACTGGTTGATGGGACTTATGGATAGGTTCCAGTTTGGGGCTGCTAAAAATAAAGCTTCTAGGTACATTCATTTCAAGTCTTTGTGTGGACAGATACTTTGACTTCTCTCAGGTAAAGAGAACCGTTCTAATCTCTGAGACCGTAGGGCTCAGCAGAGAGCCCAGTGCTTCCTGAGTGGATGAACTTGTGCAGGATTAAAGCAGAAAGAAGGCAGGCGGGAGAAAAATAAGGTTTAGGTTTGAAAATCTGTGAGCTGCCAGGCCCTGGACACCCTCTGACCCATTTCAGCCTTCTCCTTTCCCCCTACCCCTTCCTAGAAGCCATACCTGCCTGCTGTCCTGAGATCAGTTCCCTGGGGAGCACCAGCTGACTGTGTCCTGTATGTTCCTATCCTTGGCCCACACTTCATGGTTCCAGCTGCCAATCCCTACCCTGCCAGGACCTGGACCATGTCCTAAGAGCTGCCCTCTGTCAGTCCTTAGCCCCCCTGAGAACTTGGGTTCGCAGTATGTTTCCAGAGGCGTGACCTGCAGATGTGTGTGCATGTGAACTTGGGGGTGCACAACTCCAAGTGTAACATTAATTAAAGGCTTGCTATGTACTGGGTACTCTTCTAAGTATTTTACCTGCATTATCTCATTTAAGTTTCACAATGACCCTATCGGGTGGGTCCTGCGTATTAGTCCCATTTTTACAGAATTATTATCCCATGTTCACCAAGGAGCAATCCAAGAAACAGAGAGGTTAAGTAATTTTCTCAAGGTCACATGCTTTATAAGGAGCCAAGCAGGGATTCAAACTCAGGCCTTTTGGGCTCTAACTACTATACAAATTGTGTTAGCGTAGGCATAGATCTGTCTACACATACACAATCATGGAATATCAACATGGGTAAGTGCAGTGGTGTGCTGGCCAACGTTTAACAACCAGTTCTCAAGGGGGAAAAAAAAAAAAAACAACTGACCTATAGTGTTTGCCAATTTCTGTGGTGTAAACACTCATCCCATGGCCAATTTCAAGCTACCGCCATGCTGTCACTGAACTGAAGGAAGTTTTGGGAGGAGATGTATAGTACTATAGATGTACATTCTACAGCATTTCCACTGTACAGATAACAATAGAAGTAAATTACCTCTGACCATACATGACAGTAAAATGTAGTAAAATAATCAGGAAGTGATTATTTTGGAGGATTCATTACCTTTGTTTTTATTTTTTATTTATTTATTTATTTATTTATTTATTTATTTATTTTTTTTTTTTTTTTGAGGCGGAGTCTCGCTCTGTCGCCCAGGCTGGAGTGCAGTGGCCGGATCTCGGCTCACTGCAAGCTCCGCCTCCCGGATTTACGCCATTCTCCTGCCTCAGCCTCCTGAGTAGCTGGGACTACAGGCGCCCACCACCTCGCCCGGCTAGTTTTTTGTATTTTTTAGTAGAGACGGGGTTTCACTGTGTTAGCCAGGATGGTCTCGATCTCCTGACCTCGTGATCCGCCCGTCTCGGCCTCCCAAAGTGCTGGGATTACAGGCTTGAGCCACCGCGCCCGGCCCATTACCTTTGTTTTTAATATAATTTATTTAATTGTAAGCAGATAATGTAATTTTTTAAAACAATTGCTGTGTTTAACCACCAGGTTGCAAAATTCCTGAAAATGCAACAATCAGCGTTAAGCCAGTTCCAGCTCCCCACTGGGTATATGCCTCGTGTGTCACGGTTGTATAACTGGGTCATATTGGAGGAGAACAGCCATGAGCCTGGATTGTAGCTGGGTTCACAAAGCCTTGTGCAAATGTTGCTGGGTGTATCTCTCTGAATACACATATGGGTTCTGCAGCCAGCAGTATCTCTGGTCTAAGTGTGGAGCTGTGAATATGCAGCTCCAGGCACATCTGTGTCTATTTGTCTTTGTGGGATGATGCCTGTGTTATAACATCTGAATGTATAAATGTGGCTGCTTGCTAAGTCTGTAGCATTGCATGTCTGGGTGTAGCTGTGCTGCGTGCGCACGTGTGTGGCTGTCTTTGTGTATCATTCTGTAACTCTAATGGTCAATGTGGGTCATATGGATCAGGATGCTTGTCATGTTGGTGTCAGTAGCCGTGTCTCATATGCAGTTAGGTTCAGTTGCTTGTTTAACTGCTGTGTTGTAGCCGCACATTATAGCTATGTGTGTGTGTGTGTGTGTAGCTGTGACCGTAGGCACTTTGTTGTATGTTTGAAGTTGCTTCTGTTAGTGCATGCTCAGAGGATGTGACAAAGCCCTAAGTGGCTGAGACTTCAGCAATTGGCAGAAAACCCCAGGCCTGAGCTGCAACGTGGAGGATCCGTCTTATTACAGGAAGCATGTCCTCCTCTGCCTAACCACCGCTGGGCGGGTCCACTTTCACTCCCAGAGCAGGCCCCACCTTTCTCGGCCAGACGCCCAGAGCTCCGTGCCCACCCAGATGCTGCCAAGTGTCCAGGCGCAGACGTGGCTGTAAACTGGCTCCACGCTGCAGGGACCCTGCGGCCAGACTTGTATATTTTCTGGGGACAGCTCTGGGCACTTCCACAGGAATCCATCTCCAAAAGACACCATTTCCTCTTCCCACTTCACAGAAGGGGAAACTTGAGGCCCAGAGAGGGAAGGTTGAGTGGCTTTTGCCTAGGGTCATAAAAGGAGTGAGGGGGAGCCCATGGCAGGTTCCTTCATCTTCAGCCAGAGCTCTACCCCAAGCAGGCTGCTTGTCCCTGGGTCTCTAGGCGTCCCCACCCTACCCCTCTTACCCAGAGGCCCAGAATTTCTTTCCTGGCCCAAACTTGGGGGTCAGCAAGGAGCTGGGCTGGGATAACCTGTCTATTTGAACTAGAATTTGGCTCAGAATCCCTGGCTGGGCTCCGCCAACCCCAGCTGAGAAAATGCCCCCCATGACTTGAGGTTCAGTTGCACTGAGTGTTGTGGAGGAGTCTGGAATAGGGAGCGCATAGAGGTTGGGAGTGTTGGGTGAGAAGCTCCCAGCACTCTGCAGGTTTGTGCTGTACCTTTTTGTGTTGTACCTGGCTGCCTAGAAGCAGATCTTGTTCGCCAGCTCTTACCAAGCACCGGTCTGAGTCCTACTAAGGGGTTTACATCTCTGTCTCATCTCTCCAATCCTCATCGCTGCAAGCAGAGACAAGAATCCAGTGACATCCCTTCTCTAGAGGCAGATAATCTCATCTCTTTCTTACAGATGGAGAAACTGAGGCTCTGGCCTTTATATAGACACCACCTCATGACTGCCTAGTGTCCATCCTGCCACTCCATGGTTCCAGCGACCCTTCCCTGGGCCTTGGCTACTCTTCCTGGCTCTAAAACTTCCCTTAGGGTCTCTTCCTTTCCCAGGCTCCTAGGTCCTGGCAGTGCAGGTGGCTGCAGCACATGGCTACCGATGGTGGGAGGAAGAGGACCCAGGGACAGGGCCGGGAGGTGGGATGGTCATGCTCACCAAGCTCCCTTTCTTCCCTCCCAGGGCGAGCCCAGGCCCTCCAGGACCCAAGGCCAAATTTGCTCTGGCCAGGCGACCAGTCGGCCGCCAACCCCAGGCAAAGATCACGGGGAAGATCAAACATTAACTTCCAGTTGGATCTGCGCTCTGGCCAGGACCCTCCGGTAGGGCTGTCAGCCCTGCTCCCAACCTCCCGCCGAGCCCGCTCCTCCCTCCGCCCTCGCCCTTGCTGCACAGGCCTCCAGCCCGGCCCCCTTCCCCCGCCCCGCGGGCCCCCGCACCTGTTCGGCCCCCGCCCGTCCGGGCCGCACCCCAAGGCCAAGGAAAGGGAAAGTTGCCAAAAGAACCGCTCCTGACGCCCCAAGCTGTGGGGTCGCACGATCCACGGCCTCTTACTTCTCTCCCGCAGACCCACTCCGGGGTGCAGGGATGCAGCTCAGTACCCCCGTCAGTCCAAGTTTCTCTGTCACTTCTCGGGCCACCAGGATTTGCCCCCAGCCCCGCCCCCGCCATCGCCGCCACTCCCCGGGCTTTGCACACGCCAAGTCCTGGGACTCCCAAAGTCCTTTCCCACGTCCAGCTCTCTTCGCCCGCTTTCCTGGGCCCCGCATTAGCTGCCCAGGGTGAACCCTACACGTCCAAAGGGACATGCACAAGTCGCGCCTCTGGGACCCGCAAGATCCCCCTGGCGTCCTGGGCCACGCACACACCCACCTCGAGGTGCTCAGCAAGGGTCCCTAAGGGGCCTTGGGCCCTGCACCAGCCGCTCCTCCCTCGGGTCCTGGAGTCCCGTACGCGCCCCGCCAGTACGTCCCCACCCCGGAATCCGGGGCTCGCCCGCGCCTCCCGGGGGCGGGGGCCGTGGCCCAAACTCTGCAGCCTCACCGTGTTCTTCCTGGCCACCATCTTCTCCAGCTTTTTGGCGATCCTCAGCAGCTCCTCTTCCTGGCCCATGTTGGCCCGCGACGCCTGGCGGGGCGAGGGGCGCAGGGGCAGCAGTCGGGCCTCGGGGGCAGGAGGCGCGAAGGCGGAGGGCGCGCAACCCGAGCGGGCCCCAAACACACACGACACACACGCCCGGCGGGGGCGGGGCTCTCCCCACCCCCACCCCCCACCGCCCGCCTTCCAACTGTGCGGGGGAGGGGTGGCGGGCACTAAATATAGACTTCAAGGACTTGCCAGGGCACTGATTGCCCGCACCGGCCGGTCGGGCTTCAGGGGAGGAACGAGGCTGAGAGGGGGAACCCTCCACCTCCGGCGCTTCCAAGGGCGCCGGGGGACCGAAGGGAGATTTGGGAAGGAGGGTTCTCTGGCAAGTTGGGAGGCTGTGACCTGGCCACAGGCGGCGGTCGCGGGGGCGCCCGAGGGTGTCCCAGAGGCCCCGGGAAGCGTTCTGGGCTCCCGGGTCTCTGCACCGTTGCATCTCAAAACGGGAGGACTCAGTTCCGCGCCTATGCCCAAGTGGAGGCAACTGGGTGCGCTCGAATCCCGTGTGTGTGTGTGTGTGTGTGTGTGTGTGTGTGTGTGTGTAGATCACTAAATCCAGCTCTGCTTTAACCTGCACTCACTCCATCCTGCACACGGCCTGTGCATGCCACGTGTATCCAGGCTCCTGTTTGCCTCTGTCTACCTAAAACTTAGTTTGCTGGCTATTTTGTTAGTAAGGCTTTGCATTTTGAACAAGCTCCTAGGTGCTGGGGTTGCTGCTGGTCCCAGAACTACACTCTTGAGTAGTGAGAGCTTGTGGGGGAGATTATTATTATTTATTTTATTTTTTTGAGACGGAGTCTCCCTGTGTCTCCCAGGCTGGAGTGCAGTGGCATGATCTCGGCTCACTGCAAGCTCCGCCTCCCGGGTTCACACCATTCTCCCGACTCAGCCTCCCAAGTAGCTGAGACTACAGGCGCCCGCCACCACACCCGGCTAGTTTTTTGTATTTTTAGTAGAGACGGGGTTTCACCATGTTAGTCAGGATAGTCTCGATCTCCTGACCTCGTGATCCACCCGCCTCGGCCTCCCAAAGTGCTGGGATTACAGGCTTGAGCCACCGCGCCCGGCCGATTATTTTTATTTTTTTGAGACAAGGTCTCCCTCTGTTGCTGAGGCCAGAGTGCAGTGGAGCAATCACGCTCACTGCCTCGACCTCCCCGGCTCAAGTGATCCTTTCTGCCTCAGCCTCCTGAGTAGCAAGGACTACAGGTGGGAGTCATATATCATGCCCAGCTAATTTTTTAAATTTTTTTGTAAAGAGTGAGTCTTGCTATGTTGCCCAGGCTGGTCTGGAACTCCTGGTCTCAAGGGATCCTCCTGCCTCAGCCTCCCAAAGCTGTGATTACAGACAAGATTCATTCTTACGTGCACCAAATTTTGAGAAATACTGATCCAGGTGCAAGGCTGCCAGGTCAGGCCAGTGCCCCCTCAGTGGGGTTGGGTTTAGAAGGGTCATCTTGGTGGAGTGGTGGAAACACAACTGTTGTCTACCTTCCCCAGCCATGCACAGATCTGCCTTCCCATGGAATGATCTCCAGTGATCTCCAAGTATCTCCCACAGATCCAGTTCTCTTGCTAAATGAGTTTAATGGACAGAAAATGATCTTCCTGTGACGGGAGTGGGGCTCAGGAACCTGGAGGGAAGGCATGAAAAGTGGTCCACAGGGTGTGCAGGTTGCGACTGCGGGAGCTGGGGTTGGGGTGTCGAGTGAAATCTCCCCATTTTCCTGACCGAATGCCATTTCAGCTTGGGTCGCAGAGGCAGCTTGGTGTGAACACCTATCTTCTAAATGCTTTGTGACTGGGATCAAGGGAGGACAGAGTGGGTTTTTTCATCCATTCAACAAATACATATTGAGTGTCCAAGCAATGAACAAGACAGACCCGGTCCCAGAAAGCTTGAGACTCAGTCTATGGGCAAGAGAAACCTTAAACACAAACAGACATGGTCAATTAATGTATTTATCATAGCTGGGGTGAAGGGCAGGAAGCAGTGAAGGAACTTAAGGACACATTTGAGGGGACCTGCACTATTTAGGGTGTCATCTTCTCTGAAGAAATGAAGTTTAAACTTTGGGCTGAAGCACACAGCGGCCATGGAGGGGAGGAGGAAGAGTGTTCACGGAAGAAAGGAAGAGGCATTCAACATATATTTATGGAGCACCTAATATGTGCCAGGCATTTCTTGTTCTGGATACCCAGAGAGGAACAAAACAGTCCTTTTCTCTTGGAGTGAGTTCCAAATGTGCAAAGCTTAGGGATGGGAGGGTGCCTGGCCTGCCTGACAGTGTTGGAGGAACTGAAAATTTGGCGTGGCTGCAGCACAGAGGTAAGGAGTGTGGGGGAGAGGCAGTGGGTGGGACCTGAGCATGCAGTGCTGCCAGTCACATTTGGGAGGTTAGACTCTAATGGTTTGGGATTTGGGGAGGCCTTTTGGCCAATCCCAGCCAAACCCTTCTGGGTTGAAGCGATTCAACCTCAGCAGCCTGAGGCTACTTAGGATTGCCTTTAAAAAAAAAAAAAGACACACACACACACAAAAAACGGCAAGGAGTGATGACTCATGCCTGTAATCCTAGCACTTTGGGAGGCCAAGGCAGGAGGACTGCTTGAAGCCAGGAGTTCAAGACTAGTCTGGGCAACAGAGAGAGACCTCGTCTCTACGAATTATTTTTAAAAGCCAGGCATGGTGGCATGCGCCTATAGTCCCAGCTATTCAGAAGGCTGAGGAAGGAGGACTGCTTGATCCCAGGAGTTCAAGGTTACAGTGAGCTCTGATTGTGCCACTGGACTCCAGTGTGGGAGACAGAGCCATTAAAAAAAAAAAAAAAAAAAAAACACACACACACACACACGAAGAAAAGAAAAAGAAAAAAAAAGAATTTTTCTCAAACTTCTACCCAGTCCCCACCCTAAGCTGTGTGACCTGAGCATGGTGCGCTGCCGGTCACCTAGAACATCCAGGTATGAAGGACCCTAAGAAAACATGGAGTCCAACCTCTTTATTGTATAGATGGGAAGACTGAGGCCTAAAGAGGGTGATGATCCTCTCTGGGTTGGACCCTGTTGATATCATCATATCCCCTCTGCCTACTTATCCACCCTGCAGGTCACTGGAAGATAATTCCTGGACACACCTTGGATAGCTCCCCACATTTCTCTGATTAGGAGCTTTGGGGTGATAGGAAATTGATGCCCTCAGAAAGGACACCCACAACCAGCAAGAAACCAGAGTTGGTGGAAAACATCCAGTTTCTTTACTCTCAATGGGACAATGCAAAGGCATGTTGTAGTCAATACTGTTTCTCACAGGTCCTCAACAAGAGTCAGAGACAGAGACTCGCTCTGTTGCTCAGGCTGGAGTGCAGTAGCGCCATCATGGCTCACTGCAGCCTTGAACTCCTGGGCTCAAGCAATTCTCCCACCCGAATAGCTGGACTATAGGTTCTCACCACCACACCCAGCTCTTTATTGCTCTTTGACTTTCTGTTTCACTTCTCTATTCCCTCATTATGCTTCCTGGGATCATTTCACAGATAAGCTACTTGCTCCCAAATCCTTGTCTCAGGGGCAATCAGCAGAGACAGTGGCAGAGGACCACAGGAGAGCTAGAATTTCAGGTCTCCAGACTCCCAGTCCGGTGTTTTTCCAGGGTTTCTCAACCTTGGCATTATTAACATTTTGGACTGAATACTGCATTGCTATGGAGGGTTGACCTGTGCACCATAGGATGTTTAGGAGCATCCCTGACCTTTGTCCACTAAATGCCACTAGCACCCTCCAGTTGGGAACAGTCAAAACTGTTTTCTGCTTTATCAGAAGTTCTCTGGCGCAAAACACTGTGGTTGCAAACCACTATTCCACATCAGGCCATCTCCCTTGCCAGGTCCAGAGAAAGAATTTCAAGCCCCAAGATTCCGTTCCCCTCCCTGTTGCTCTTTAGATCACATAAATGAAACCACTGGAAACTGACCCCCCAATCCTTTATTAGAGATGAGTGAAATAACAAATCTGAGATGAATGAAACCAGACACTGGGGGCTCAAAAGACAACCCTGTTCCTGTGGGAACCACAGACTGGTCAGGTCTCCAGGGGAAACAGCACAGCCTCCACAGCCAGGCAGCAGCGTTGGCCATTGGTGCTCTCTGGTCTCCCCTGCTTGGCTTGGCCCGTTCCTGCCAGGGCGCAGCACCCAGCAACTGGCAAGTTGAGATGTTAGCAGCTGATGATGGCTTAGGTGTATCTGCTTTCTCATTGGGGCTGAGCAATGATAGAATTTCTAGTGCTGTGAAGCAGAACCCTTAAGTCTCTGCCCTCCCATTTCTATTACTCTCCCTTATTTCTTTGCCTCTCCATTCCCTCAGACTAAAAGGCTCCTGAGTTGACCAAGAGAAAGAGAAGAGAAGTGGGCATCCATCAACCCAGACCATTTCTTTCCTTCCTGCTAAATCAAGGACACAGGCAAATGTGGGTGCATTCGACTCTACTACTTGGCTGGGGAATGTAGGAGAGTGCCTAGGGAAGGCTGTGCTGTCCCTCAAAAGGGGTGACATTCAGAATATTTTTATTTAACAGCCAGTATAGCATGCATGTTGACAGCCAGAATGGATGTGGTCTATAGACAACTGCAATGGTCACACAGGTATAAACCCGCTGAGTCCAGAGTCATGCCCTGGAATCTGACCCTGCCTATTCCCAAGCCCAACCCTTAAGACCAGCTTTCCACCAAAGGACCACCCCTGCAGGGCCCCTGTCTTACTCGTGTGGCATCTGAAGTGACTAACACAGGTCCAGACATAGAGCTGGAATTTAGTAAAGGAATACTAGACTAATAAACGGCTGGCTGAGAAGACAGTCCCTACTTGGCAGGGTCCCTGATCTGGAAGTCAGTGATGGAGGGCTCTCCTGCCCTTGTGAAGCCCCCAGACAGATGGGGGAAATAGAGTCTCGATCTGATGAGGGACTGAGAATTCTGCAACCGAAGCCAGCTCAGGAGCACTCAGATCCAGCCACAGGGCTCCCAGGCCCCTAGCGGGTAATGAGATAGAAAAGAACTGCCATCAGCCCTAACAGGGAAAGGCCATGTGTCCTTGGTAGGGACATGG